AGCAGGGAAGTCGTTACCTGCGCATGCGTCAGATGGCCATAGCGTGTCATTGTTTACAAACAAGCGTCTACCCATGAGCCTTTGCGTTTTTAGCGTGTTTTGTTATCAACACTTGGGACTCAATTCTTGTGCAAGCGCAGGTGGCGACCCTCTCGCTTCAAGATGCATTATTGCTTAATACGTTTGCGACATTAAAAGATATGGTATGTATTTTGGAACAAACAAAAATAGAATGTCAATGACTTATGTACATTACAAAATGTGGAAAAAAAATTGACTAATTAATTAACTCTATCTTCTAATCTCTGAGTTATTTAAATGATAGTCATCTTAGATATTGATGGGCATTATACTGGGGATGACGCTCTGCCCTCGAATGCTGAGTGTTATGTGAGCTATTTTTTCTCTCTGGTCTGTTGTATGAATCCCAAAACTTCACATACTAAATGTAATTTTTATTATGAATCAAACAATAGGTGAGACACACTACATTTTACACATTTAGTTTGCATATCTTAATTAAAAGCATTGACCAATCAGTGAAATACAGGAAGTGAAATTAAAATCAAGGATATAGTTAAGGCTGCATTTCTTCAATTTTGTTATATTTTTTATTCAATCTATTACAGAGCAGAGATGATGTTGTGGTACTACCGAGTAAAGTTTGAAAATGTATGGCATGGCATATGCATGCAGACAGCAGAAAAATGATTTTTTCTTCAAAAATAATCCATATTTTGAATTTGTATATTATTAACATAATTAGAATATGTTTGTTCAGTTTGCATTACAAAGGTAATTTGGCTCTGTATTAAAAGGATAAAAATATATTAAAATTGATAATAATCGCAGCTCAAGGACCTTTAAGTATAGCTGCAACAACTCACATTCAAGCCCTCCTCTAGCTGCATACTCCCATTCAGGTTCCGTTGGCAGCCTCCATCCTTTCCATTGGCAGTATTGCTTGGCGTCATTCGCACTAATGTGAACTGCCGGCCAATTTAGTTTTTTTGTGATCGTACTACCCTGACCTTCAGGCTAGAAAATATAAAAAAGATTAGGAACAAAAGTCTTTGAATATTCACATTATTGTGTCTGCTTTCAATTGCCAGGTTTTTAAACTAAGTCCTGCCTTTCCCACTTCAGTTAAAACTGATATTGAGAGTTTTGTTAGTTCAAATTTTCAAACTTGAAACACTGCTATTTATATTAGTAACTTTAACATTTCATTATCGTAAACAAGAAGTCGAAAATATCACTTTTTACAAAAATTACAAAAATATTCATCAAAATTAGAAAATTAAAGACATCAGTTTTTAACAAGAAGTCTTAAATATTACTTTTTACCAAAAATTACAAAAATAGTCATCAAAATTGGAGAATTGAAGATATCATCACAAAATGAACAAATCTGAGAGAGGTCCACATGTAGTACCTATATATGTATTAAATATCAAAGCAATCAGACTTGCGTTTTTTTACAAGAAGTCGAAAGTATCACTTTTTAAACAAAAATTACAAAAATATTCATCCAAATTAGAGAATTAAAGACATCATACACAAAGTATCAAAGCATTCAGGCATGTAGTTTTCAAGAAGTAGTTGAAAAAGTGAAAAGTTGACATGGACGATGGACAATGACAGATGCCAACGGACAATCACTCATACGGTATATATGCTTCGCTCGACAAAGTCAACATTGGATAAGTTTTACGATTTCTTTAATAAAAGTTTTCTATATTTGATTTTTGGAAATGTGTGAATAAATTTTCAAAATTGTTTGAAAATTTATTTTGTTTGTGCAGTTTCATTTATTTCATCTGCTAGGATGATTCAGTTGTGATCATTGATTGATTTGACTAATTGAAATCTGTCTTGGTGATTCAACAATGGCCATTTTTGATTTGGCTCATTTGATTTAAAATTTAATTTTATTAATTTGACATAGTTCAAAAATAACTGAACTGCAGGTACAAATGTCCTGGATTACACAAAACATTAGCAATGATACTTTAATAGGGGGAACATATGGACTCACCTGTCTCCAATATGCTCTTGGTACCGGAACCCACCATGGAGTGTTCTATAATACAAATACATCATTATTATATATTATTGCCCATATTTGGACATTGCATGACATCATTAATGTACATTAGAAAACATACCAAAGACTTTGTCAATTTGTCTTTGAATCATTATTTTCATCAAGATTTCCCCAAATTAAAAAAAAAACTTACTGGTATCCTCTCTGTTATGTTAGCTTTTACTTCCTCGCTCACAAAAGCATCAAAAACAAAACTCCATTGAAAACGTTCTGCCTCCGTCTTGAATCTTTTCGCTTTAACAAATTGTCTACAGAAAAATTAAAATAATTAACTTAAACAAGCATTATAAACCAAAATTTAAAATTATTGTTAGCAATTTTTTTATTTTCCAGATAAGATCATGCATACATTTGTTGACATCAAAATGTAGAGTATTGTTTTTTATTCATATTAATTAAAAATAATCAATTCCGATCATCGATTTTAATTTTTCAAATAGAGTAAAGTAATTCTAAGTAATTGATAAATAATTTTCCAAATTTAATGTTTGGACTGTCAGGAGAGCAAGTCGTCTATTTTTACCTAAAAGCAGCATTCGTCACTGGATATCTCATTATTTTGAATGGTTTTACGGTAACTTTTCTGGAGGGGCCTTCACCATCTCGTGCATTTGGTTCGTCGGTTCCCATAATAAATTTTCCACCTTTCAATTCTACCATCTCCTCAAATTTCTTGAGATCAGCATCTGTAAAATAAAAATATAAAACATCTGAGTTAACCTGTAATGCTATAATAATTTGTATTTTTCCATAAATTTGTTAATAATTTAAAACACAGATGATTATAATTTTTGAATGGCTATAGGGCTTGATCAAAAGTTTGAAAAAAAAATAAAAATATGATTCATAATTATTTTGTGAAAAAGTTTACTTTCACAACAAATTTGAGTTAATTTTCATGATTTTTGAGTGTGTGAAAATAGAAGAATTTTGTAGCAATGAAAACGTTTTTATTTAGGCAATTAATTAAAGCGTCACAGTCAAATTGCATTTGAATTTCTGAGAAATGAACAATGTATTTTACAGGCATTGTATCCATCACATGGGACCCACATTGTAAATGATACAGCATGACAATTGTGACAGTTTAAACCTTTCAACACCTACTTTTGTCAACTTTCACAAAATAAAACCTAATTTTTTTCATAATTTTACCAAACTTTGAACAAGACCAATAGAGCCAGAAAGGAATTACATGTATGTCCATTTGGTTAATAATTATGAAAGAATTAAAGAAATGTTTATAAAAACAACAAAATGTTGCACCAAAACCTTGGCGAAAAAAATAATGGCTTTTATAGCACATATGGTGTTGAAAACATATTTACAGGTATCATCTGGGCATATTGTCTGCATTTAAATGGCTACAGACAATTAATAATCTACTTTATGAATTACTAGCTTCCTATTTTATTGTCAGTTTTTACTAAGATCTCATGATTGTGCCTATAATGCTATTAATACAAACATTTCTGTTTCTGACTGTCAATTTCCATGATTTATTATTTGAAAAGAACAAATGTTATGAAGACACAATTGATTTCTCTAGCATCCCTGTTTACTGCTACTTGATTATTTTGTATTTCTCATTTTCACACAATTTTTTAACCCCACTGAATTTAAAATGATTTACAGTACTCCTCACTCAAACAAAATTCTCAACTCAAATTACCAGTGTGTGTTTTAGCAGTATGATTCTGTGATAATTGGTCGGGTAACTACATATTTATACACACAAGAAACATAAATTTATGGTATACATATTTATTCATTTGAAACCAATGTTAAACTGAGCTCAATATTGTACAAAATGCAATCAAATTTAAAGAATAACATCCTTGATCTGCCCAATTTGATGCATGGCAACACCACATGACAACACATTTCCTTAGTGTCTAGCCTACAAGTATAGCCTACAAGTACAGCCTACAAGTACAGCCTGCAAGTACAGCCTGCAAGTACAGCCTGCAAGTACAGCCTACAAATGCTAAAGTCTGTTAATTATTATGCAAATTATGCAAATTATGCATGAATCAAAACTAATCAGGTCTGGAGTTCATCGTAATCTGTGTAGTAAATTGCAATCCCATCTACCCAGTGGATCTCACATATGCTGGTAGACTAAAAAATACTGAACACACGCACACGCACACACATTTAAGGGCCAAAAAAAAAATTGTTTTGTTGCCCTCAGTGACCGACCGAAAAATATGAAATATCTGGTCGCGTTTAAATATTAAAAACTCACCATTTTAAGCAGTAAAAAGTGTTTCCTCTAAAAATTAAGCATTCTGTATCATTGTTTGATCCCCAGAGTCCCCGTAAGTGGCGACTTTGAACTTTGGGTGGATCTGTATTTCTCTGACATGTTCTGAATACTATGAAGTCCATATACCTTGGCTATTTACAATACTCATATTTTTCACTAATTTAAAAAAAAAAAAAAAAAAAAAAATCTGACCAACCGACTGACACAATTTTTCGACTTGAGGGCAACATAAGTTTGTTTGTTTTTTGGCCGAATGGCACATTTCCTCACATTTGTGCTATGCATAAGCACTGAAACAAACAAGCAGCCTGTCGGCTGAGATACATGTAGCTCCACTGTTAGCAATGCACATTACAGTTAAAGAACAGAAGATATCATTAGAAAATGAACAAATCTGAGGGAGGTCAAGATGTAGCACCTATATGTATAATATATCAAAGCAATTGGACTTACAGTTTTCAACAAGAAGTCGAAAATATCACTTTTTACCAAAAATGACAAAAATATTCACCTAAATTAGAGAATTAAAGATATCATTACAAAATGAACAAATCTGAGAGAGGTCCACATGTAGTACCTATATATGTAATATCAAAGCAATTGGACTTGCGGTTTTTAACAAGAAGTTAAAAATATCCCTTTATACCAAAAACGACAAAAATATTCACCAAAATTAGAGAATTGAAGATATCATCATGAAATGAACAAATCTGAGAGAGGTCTACCCAAGGTACACATATACACCAAGTATCAAAGCATTCAGGCTTGTAGTTTTCAAGAAGAAGTCGAAAAAGTAAAACATTGACACGGACGACGACGGACAATCACTCATATGATAAGCTCCGCTCGACAAAGTCGACAGCGGAACTAAAAAACTCAGTGGTTAGGATATAAAAACCTAATCACTGAAAGTGAGAACATACCATGCCAGAATGTAGAGTACATATCTGGTATCAGACAGATGTAGAACATAGTAAGTTAATGACACAAGGTCAGGGGGTCACCCAAATTGCAATTACTCAAGACCATTAAGTAATGTCAGCTGCTTTCTATTCCTGTCATGCATTGCATACTGAACTGGCCTACATGGCTTATCTAGTTTATATTATCACTAAAAAGTTACTACCACTATTTGTTAGTAATTAATTGCATAAATGAATTACCAACATATAAATTAAATAAATGAATTACCAACATATAAATTAAATAAATTAATTACCAACAAATAGTGTAAGTGACTAAAAAACCAGAAGGGGGGTTAACCCAAAGCCCTGCATTGTCCCAATTTTAAAAGTGAAAATTATAAAAAGCATATTTTCTTAATTGCATGCAATATTACTAGAGCAAATACTATATAATATAAAATGAATTTACATATTTATTCAACAATGTGGAGAAACCATTTAACACATCGCCTCTGTAGAGGCTTTCGGCAGGTTATGTGTTGAAACTGTTGATAATTCATGTCTAGATTTTGTAATATACAACTAAACGGAAGGAACCTAATGTATTTCACTAAAACTGTCACGACTGTCATATAACATCTTGCTAAAATCCAGTGAATATTCAAGTTTAACTATGTATGTAAGAATGTATAGTTTCCTGAAATGAATTTGATAAAACCTAGTGAATATCCCAGACATCAAATTCACTAGTAAAGTTATTATAGTTTTTATAAGTATGCATAATAACATGGGAATATCCAACTTGTTACAACTGAGATGATTTTTATGCTTTCAGAAAGTGAATATAAAAAGTTAAACCAAATGATCAATTACTGTTCTTACAGTTTTGAAAAACAAAAACACAAGTCAATTATCTAATTGCAATCATTAAGAACAAAGATTCATCCAGTGATTATTGTTGTTGGCACAATTCAATGAAGTTTTTAAACATATATTTCATATACATATTTTATTTAGGATGTGGGTGACACAGGAAGAATGAAATTAAAATTTCAAATTTGGGAAAACAATTTAAAAATCCATCTGACCAAATGCTTATTGGGCCCATGGTTTGAAGGATAGAACAATATTTTAACTCCTTTGGCAGAAATATTACTATGATGTAACTGATTACCCACTAACTGAGTCATGGTAGTTTGAACCATGTTTGTGCAATGATGATGTCACAACAAAGATATACATCAACATTGAGTGCAATTTGCATACTCAAAATCTGATCAACACATGTTCCAAATTCAAGTATTTACACTTGGTCATTTATAATGGTACTGCGATCAATTAGCAATATTCACAAACAGTAGCAATTCATTCTTGTGGGTGGGTAATGTTTGTATTGCTACTAGGGATTTCACTTGATCAATATAATAAAGCCAGTGCTACTATATAATAACATCATGGGTATGTTAATTATTGTGCTTAAATGCTGACTTTATAAGTACAATCATTTCACAACTAACTCCGAACTTGCTGATAGCACATGAGCCTTATGATCCTGCTATAACTGTTTGAGATCTGTAGAAAAAATATTTATTGAAAAATATTTGTTTCTGCCAAAAGTGTACCCCGGCTCACGTACATGTGCGTCTATGGAGTGGTATGAGAATGTCTTCGCATAAGCCATTAACTTCGACTGAACAACAAAGTGTATAATATAATTGAGACAGTAGAACAACATTTCTCATGGAAATACTGTACCAATAACTTTATTTATAACATTCCTCCAACAACAAAAAAGAAATTTGCCCACATGTTAATTAGCGGTTGGCATTGCAGGCAGAACACATCTCGGACATATTCACCGGGATCGTGAGATCCCTGTGTTGAAATCACATAGTACATGTATACGGAAATAAACTTTCAACTTGCACTGTAATCAATTTCAGCGATCGATACGCCCCCTTGGGACCGGTTCAGAAATCGAACCTTATCGCGCAATGATATAGCCAAGAACAACTAAATATGCTCACCTGTTAATGTGTCTTTATCGGTTTTACTCTCAGTTAAAATAATTACACACATAAACACGAGCCCCGCACGATACACGTCCGTCCACGCTGCCATTTTCGCTCAATACAAAGTAGTACGCATGCTCAGTAGAATTTTAAATAGGCGTTGGATAAGGCGACAGCTGAGCGCTCTCTCATTGATAAAACTTTAGAGGCTACAACGCGGCAAGCTGTGACTCGCTGACACTGTACATGCTCACTCAGCGGATATTTATACGGATAGGGACTGTAGAAGACAACGAGTCGACTCAAAGAGAACCATGACTGCATTGGTGATTGAGAGAAGGTTAATCCACAGTCCCTGTATCATATTGTAGATGATATGTGATTACTCTACTCGGTTTGGTCAAGGATTATTCGTTGCGGTAACAAACAACAAATGCGCTACTAAATTAACTTGAAAATACATATGCAAACTAATAATAATTATCGCAACCCACTTCATCGTTTCCGTAATTTTCACGGTCATCATAGTTTTTACCGCGCGTAGTCACGTGCCAGTGCGATTAGACAAAACACAGTCGCACACAAGGGGAGGGACTGTTGGCAAACCCCTCCCAGACTCGAAATGTAAATAATTAGACAAATAACAATAAGTAATCAATTATTCTATACTAATCACCATTTTACTACTTACTAGTTGAACTACCTTAAAATACAAATTAAAATAATAATCGGTTTACTCATAACATTGATACGGGTCAGTTTGTTTAGTCCATAGCCAACTTGAGAGCAAGGAATTTGATTTGTCATCGTCCCGAGCACAGTCACTCAGGCTCCTCCAGTAAACGTGGGTATTTAGTTTCAAATTAGCTAAATCTTATATATTCTCGTTAACCCAGGAGTATTATGTTGGCAATCATAATTCTCTTCGCCAGCAATAGTCCGTTTATTCGGTATTCGGTACGCACGCTCTCTGACTGGTTTGGACTGTTTGGCGTTATGATTGAGTAGCCACTCAGCCGCAATATCTCATTCGAGTTCAATTCGGGTGATGGAATTGATGAAAAATTAATTCATGCCAGCTCTTTCAATTTAGGGGTTACCCATCTCAAAACTGTTGGCTTAACTTGAACTAAAAATAAAATTCTGGACGACGACTCCATAATGTGAAAATTAGGGAAAAACGTGAATAAATTTGCACAACAAAATACGTATTGCTACCAAGTATAGTGCATATTGGTCAGTACACTGAATGTGACTGTTATGTTAATAAAAAAGCAAGACCACATACGTTTTCACAGGCGTGTTTTACGTCATAAAACACAAGAAAAAAATCCACGAATGAACTACGATTGAATGGTAATTGAATACTAGTAATATAATTTATTTAGATTCGATAGAAAATTATCGAGATTAACAGGTAGTAAACACTTTCGTAAGACATTGATGCAATAGAATTAATGTCATTATCTACTTTTGCATCTAACAAAATGTGTTACCCCGGTGACACAGACCTGGGTTACTAATCGCACGTTATCGAGTCACGTAGCATGAAATTTACGTTATTTTTTCCCGTAAGAACATCGGGGGTTAATTGATTGAAAAGTACGTATGATCATTGAATTTCTTTTAATCATCAAAATAAAACTAATGTGAGATATTTTAATTTTTTTCGCATTTAATATAGTATAGTTAACCACGTCAAGGTATTTTGTTTTCTGTTTTTGAACGGATACGAAACTGTGCGAGTGAACGATGTCGTCCAGCACACGTTAGAACTTCGTGTAAACAATACGTTTTACTCTTGTTGGATAGGATGCATGGGACCACTCTGTTGACCACGACGCCGAGCGGCGACCAATGCCATTTAAATATGATTAACGGGACATAGCAATGTACCCCCACTTAACCGTGAGTGGGCAGTCATTAGTCACATACGTATAAACATCGCGGGCCAATTTGTACACAAGATGACAGATTCAATCGAGGCGGCCTCAAATAACTACTTCAATTTTTGTGTAAAACAATGTAAAGTCAGACAAGCAGATGTAGTTAGCATACCAACTGAAATCAATATGAGAGACATAAGAACATAAGTATACTGGCGATAGAACACAACCTTGAAGTTGTCCCACACATTTATTTATTGTGATGTCGGTGGACATACCTATTACACCCCTAACGATGCTCGTTTGTTTGTTCTTGCTCGTCAGTCAAAGACGCTTCTCGTAATTCAAGCCGATGTTCCGATGGAGACATTTGACAGATTTAACCTCGCCATTATCATGATGTTGTGTACTTACATTTGGTATATGTTCATATAGAAAAGACAAGCAGTGAATAACATTTACCCTCGCCATAGTGTAAACTTTCTACATGTGATTTGCCTACATACTAGTACCGTACGGAATGACTTACAGAGAATACTGATTCGCTGAATTCTTGGAGTCCCGAATTTAAAAACGTCAATGAATGAAAGTGTAAAAAAAGAAATAGTCCGTTAGTGCGGAGTTTACAGTGTTTTTATTGTTACCAGCAATCCCGTAATGTGTATGTATAGTCTTTATAGGCTTTTCGACGAGTCTGAATGATTCCTTTAAACTGGATAATTATTTAGTTGTTGGTGGAGTGGGGGATATCACGGTCTTTACAAACGCGACTTTTCGAGCTTTCAGCATATGGCAAGCATTATCAGCGTAAGTTAAGTGAGGGCGCTGCTACCTAACGGATCGCCGGTCACACGTTTCTGAGACATTTTAAATAACGATTTATAACGTTACCTTTTATTTATGAAACCATTTAATGTTCAGTTTTTACATAGACAATGGAAATGAATCTGGACTCGTTAAATAAAACAAATGTACTTGACCCTCAATAGCGGCATCATACTAGTTTTCCCCGAATGAAAGTAAGGACAAAAACGAGCCCAATTAAAATACGTTTGTAATAAATTCTGAAAGAAATGTCACGCAAAGATTTCCTTCATTGTCTTACAATTATTTATTTATTATTTTAATATTTTTTGTGTGCCAGGCGACAGTTCAGGATATTGAATGTCACTGTTGTCTCTCCAGACTTTTTTTGTATGTGCTAGTGCTGACACATAGTGCATTTTTGTCACAGAAGTTATATTCATGTTGGGACTACATGACAGGGCTGTGTGGCCATCTCCCTATCAAATGACAATTTAATGCGCTATCCTGGCTCAGTCGAACACAAGCACCTGCGGACCTTAACCAAGGTTCCCCCAAAGTCGCATTCGTTAGTGAATAAATCTCGGCCAGTGGAATTGGCCTTCCCATTGAGTGGCACACTCACCCAGGGTAGGGGTCGGCCATTTTGATGTTTAGCCTAAGGTAGGATTTGAACTTGGGTCTAACGATCATGAGTCTGGTACGACGATTCATGAGTCTGGTGATTAATTGATTACACTGCTCAGATCTTGTCAAGTTTAATAGATTTCCAAACACCTATTCTCGTTGGACGCTGATAAACGCGTAGCTGTATTTACTTTGTCCTTATATAGTCCGTATGTCTCCCTAATTGGCATAAAGTGTAACTCTTTTTTTCACATATGTCAGTTATTGTTATTTTTGTATAAGTGTTCACTAAATTGTCTTATTATTATGTCCGCCCTTGAACTAATAATATATTTAAGTATCTGGACATCACTTTTTAATTCTTCTGAAATATTGATTTTATTAAATAAATATTGTTTTTCTATTTGGTATCTAAGACATTCCAAGAAGAAATTTTCTTTATTTCAATTTTCAATCTGGGAGCATTGCTCACAGATTCTGTCTTCTAAGGATGTTTTGGTTTGGGTAAGTCTATCCATCTCTATTTCTAATACATGACTGCTTATTCTGAAACGAGTCATTATAATGTTATGTTTCAAATTACATAAGAGTAAAGCAAGTACAGAACATTATATAGTTTACCATTTTGTTTAAGGGATTTACTAACTATTGTTTTTTGAGTAACCTGATTTTTATTTATAATACAATGTATTATTCTTTTCTGACAAATGACACAACCTAAAAATAAGCCATTTATTCAAAAATTGTAAATTTACAGAAATTGAAAACTGTATTAAACAACATTAAACAAAGTGACCAACTCCTTTAGTGAATACAAGTCACGCGCAGATTTAGAAGGAGGCGCCCCTCCTTCAGCCTGCACAACAATGACAAATCAATTGACAAGCCCCGCCCACCGGAGGTCTACTTCGGCCACGTCAATAGGATCGCCCGCTTACCGAATTTCTAGACGAGTCCGCCAGTGCAAGTAGTTATTAAATGTGTCATGATGAATCTACAATTAGCATAATGGCATTACCACACGTTACCACACACTCACTCAGGATACGGACGACCCTTTGAGGGTTGAACTATTAAAGTAAAGTTTTGAACTCGAGTCTGCCAATCATGGATTTATGCCGAGTTTATAGGAGGGTAGGCAAATAGTCAGCAAAATTGTGCTCACCAAATCAGTTGAACAGTGAGCAGAATTTCCCCTTTGAAACAGGTAAGGGCCCACACTTTAAACTAAAGGGGATAGGCAGCAGAGTCAGTTAGTATTTAATATTGATATTCTTAAGTCAGTGAGTTCTTTGAAACTTGGTATGGAAATATATATAAAGCTATATCAAAAAAGAAAGTGTGAACAAAGATTTTCGGGAATAAATGTACGTAAAAAGGTTCCCCTTCGATATCAAATATTCAACCCTCAAAGTTTCAAAGGGGATTTTTCTCATCGTTGACGATAAGGATTTTTTACGTGATTTGGTGTGCACAATTTTGCTCACCAAATTTCCCTCACCACTTATCCAACCTTAGTTTATACTGTTTATTGTAATATCGTAGATAGTCAAAGACACTTAGGTATGGGATCCATTAACATGAGCGGGTCACGTATCCAACGCATATGGAAGTTATTGAGAAACGTCACGGTGTATATACATTATATCACCATTGTCTCGTGGCGATATACAACGCTGATTTACATCAGTGGCTGACCTTTTAAAACAACAGATCGTGCCAGCAAGGATTTCTCATAACTGTCAGCACGTACATCGTGTAGCTGGAAACGCGTGCGACAGCCGAGATATGGGGCGTTGTATAGTGAGTTATATCGGTCATTAAGTGTAGGATACGCACTGGATACTTATAATGCACAGGAGTGCAATCGTTCGGATATTTAACAACTCGAGGCTTGTAGGCCCGAGATCAGTTAACATATGAAGGATGTGCGATACGAGTGCATTGCCTGACTTAAGTGACGTTAAAGGGCGGTAGTCGTCGCGTCCTGTTCAATGTGTGACTCATAGCGACGTATACAACGCGTGTAAAATACATTGCTTATTTACATGGAATTCGAACACGCGCTGCGCGACGGCAACCGCGCTTTAACCGCGCCTGGAGATTTATTGCCCAATCACCTTCAACTGATTTTTCAAACGTCATCATGAGACTCGGTGATAACCGGTTTTTATTTTTAGGTTTGCCCGTGTATGTGAACGGTTCTGCCAATAATGTATACATTTAATTTTTGTCATAAAAATGTTGGTAGTATGTTCATTAAACCTTATGATATGTAGTCACCTGGAAGGGAGGGGGTATCGCAATTCGGGAGAGATGTCGTCATATATTCAGGGGGGACTTATATACAGCACTCACAAACACAAACACACGTTCCATGACTACGTTACCCTCTCCGTTTTATGTGTGTGTGTGTGTTTTAAATATGTCCCCCTGTTGTTTAAAAAAAGGACTATTTTCATAGTTGAAATTTTGTCCTCGTATAGTTCAAGTATTAACTCCATAATTACCATAAAGTGTTTGATGCATAACGAGGCGCCAACTCAGGATAAGGATTGATCGTTCGAGGATTTGAACTCGAGTGCGCCAATCATGTGCCTGTTCCCAGTTTATATTTTTCAATATAGCGATAGTTACAAAACTAACGTGTTCACATCAAGATCTACGTTCATCCTAACCAGCACGTAATATTGTTAGACGATCCCCCATTAACATGATCGGGTCAGATGCTAGTAACCAACGCATATGGAAGTCATTGAGAAATATGTCGCAGGAACCGGAGTATTACATTATCATTGTCTTTACAACACAGATTTACATCAGTTGCTGACCTTTTAAAACAACAGATCGTGCCAGCAACAATTTCTCACAACTTTCAGCACGTACATCGCGTCGCTGGAAACGCGTGCGGTGGGTCGCTGTATAGATATATGGAATTGTATTAGTTTCAAGATACGTCAGAATGACAAACGTTGTCGTTCCGTATAATTATAAATCCCATACTCATAATGCAATGCAATAAAACGGCTAGCATTAAGAGTGATAAGAATTACAAATTTCGTACTAATATTGAACTTCTCATAGGCGACAATGAAACAACTTTAAAAGCAGGATTATATTACGCAGAGAATGTAAGACAAGTTTCTCATAATTTTTCGAAAAAATAATCAATGTGTCAATGCGTGTCAGTCTGTAATTTCAAAACTGATTTTCGCTAAAATCCCTGTAGTCGTCGCGTCACGCATGTACGACATTTGTGTTGATAAACATTGATTTTCCCATAATCCAATGCGCCCTTCTAATGGAAATCACAAGTATGAGGTTTGACCTGGGCGTGACTTTCACTGCCGATGACTCCTTAGATACCTTCCAATCACCTAAACAAATACCTAATTAAAGCTTAGTTATTTCTCAGTTTGTACTTGTTGATCAGCGCAACATACAGTCAAAGTCGCCATCTTTGTTTATATGAAACCCTTATATCTCGCGCATGCGTGGCGCGATGACTACCGCCCTTTAATAGAAGAAATTGAATTCGTGCATACAAATTCTAATTGTATAATATGAGATCTGTAGTGATATATCAATAATTTTATTAACAATTTATATTTATGTAGTACATTGTATTCATATTCCCAACATCACGTGAAATTGTGAATGGCCTACATTTCGAGTCATGCAATTACATCCTAAAAGTTCTTCAACACGAGAGGGGGCTATTTACGTGCTAAGAATGCTAAAAAAAAATTTAACACTGAGCAGCGACAGCCGGTCGTCTTTTGCAGTCCAAGAATACAAGAATACGTGATGACATGTGACTTATAACCACATGGGCTATCTTTAGCAAACATTATTAAATTTTCAGCATTCTGTTTTAATTATCTTCAAGCTTCAACAAATATCAGTTTGAACATTTTATACAACAATAATTTATGCAAATAACATTCAAAGTACAGTTATATATTTCATCAGGTGAAGGCTGAAAAGGTCAAAGTGCAAGGGTGAATGACACATTCACATGCAAACATTTTTGGATCAAGGATTTATAAGAATAGGGCATGTAACTTGGATACCAAATTGATAAAGCATGGTGGTGTCGAGATGACGATCCGTGTGAGTTCCATGCATGTGCCGCATAAAGCAGTGGATATACGACCTATGTGAACTGCTTATGATCATATTGGAAAAAAAACAAAAAAAAACAACTTGAAGGGACACTAGCAAAACAGCCTGAAACGAATACTCACCAGTTTTTACGCAGACTCACTCATTTGTATTGCACTATTTTGTGATCATCTCGCAAATTGCGAGACTTTAAATCGGGATCTTTATCGCACATCACACAAGAGCCCTATCTTATAAATCCTTGATTGAATAAACTATGATCATTGGTCTAACGAATTAAGCAGCGCCCTCTAGTGCCATTTAAAAATACAAAAGTCTGAACTACTACTAGTATTAACAAAAGATTTTTCAAAGCTCAACATTTTCTTTCTTGGCATTCACGGCGTCTGCTGCTTTTCCTACACGTTCTACGTCAGAGGCACATCGAAATCCTAAGTTGTCCGAACTTGCGTCAGCTGTGTTACCCATCCTGAAAAAATAGACACATAAATTTGAGAAATTTTTTTCTGTTTAAAAGGCGGCAGTCGTCGTGCCGCGTCCTATTCGATATGGGACTCATTCTTCAATATTTCTGAAAATAAACCCTAATTTTGGAGCCAATAAAAATAATTTGAGTAAATTTTCAGGTTTTATTCAAACTTTGAACTTTTTTGTCCCAATCTTCTGAAGGAAAGGGCAGACTATAAACAGGAATATGTTGTGAATTTGTGATGAAAACAGGAAACTGGTTGTGAAAAGGTTATTCTGTGAAACTTTGTGGCAAAGGAAGAGCATAACATGAGCCTGTGGAAGATATGTCACCCCAGCCAAGTAATTAAAACAAAATATACAGCGCATACCTTGTGGTCACCCTAACTATGTGGTTAAATTCACCATCTTTTGTGTCGATGTACGAGCCTCCCCTCAATACTAACATTGGGATCTCCACAGCTTGACCCTGGTTCTGTGATTTGAATTTTGTACTTGTCCATTCCCAAATGTTGCCGACCATGTCATACATGCCTACAAATCAATAAATACATTATTACATTAATATTTTAGTTAATATTCAGAATTTCGGCCCGAAATGACGGGCACTCGTACTTCCGGTAGAGGCAATATGTTTGAACGGGAAATCACTCTTTGCTGTCATGGTGTAAAATATGTTCAGCTCGACAGTCGACTGTGCAACACAAATACCGACTATGACCAACTATGAACAAATAATTGAAATTGTTTGCTCCATCTAATCCACACCAAACATTTTTTCAAATATTTTTTAAAAAGATTTCTTTTATTGTATTGGCGAAAAAAAATGTCTACACCATTGTAAATATGTTTATAGCAGTCTTTTTTAACCTGGAAACCCGAATGGAGTTCCACTGATTACTCATTCTTCACTCGGCTTGAGTCTGGAATATCTGCTAAGATTGAGCATGAAGCCGCAATACGATGACGATCGAACTTTCTTTATTATGGAAACTATCAGTCGGTTGACATAGAAGGTGGGGGTGTACAACTGCCATCCCTGTGTTATCCATTGTTACGACATTAGCATATTCAAATTAGCATCGGGTTATATTTATCAGCCAATCACCGTCACGGACACCCACTGACTGTATGGGGAGTACTCAAGCCACTCAAGATATTAGTGGCGTGTGAGCAAGGCTATCTCAAGCTCCCAGACTAAGTATTTTTTATATAAACAAAATAAATAGAATTTCAGTACATGTTTATTCATCCTTTATGCCTAAAAAGGGCATTTTTGAACATTTTATGTGCAATGACGAAAGTAGAAAAAAAAATATCGGGCCGCACGCTGACTATATTTTTTTAGACATTACAAGATAAAAGTCAACTCACCGTAATCATTTTGTGGTTCAAATGCATCTACTGGGGATGATCCGTGGTAACCATCTTCCTTAGTGTTTTCTTCAGGAAATTTACCCTGCAAGTAAGAAATAATCTATTCTCATCTTCGAATATTCAAAATAAATGAGTGTTACAACGGAGAGACAATCAGACTTGACGCAAGTATGATATTCACTTCACATCATCTGCTGATACTAGGTGCAAATGTCCAATAACATGGGTGAGATACCCCTCCCCACAATGAATTCAATCTATGAAACGCATATAATTTTCCAAGATTCAAATCTGAAAATGATGCCGTTCACTGTCAGCAATGGCCGAAATAAGGTGCGCATTTATTTCGCTTTTTGCTGTGGTATTAACTATACTAATTATCCATACGTTAATAGTTTGGGAAGCACTGCCACACCACCGTGAACCTTCGTCCCTCTGCCCCTACATTATTGTACCAAGAAAACTCATGACGTTAAAGAAATTACTGTCATTACTATAGTATCTGGAATCACTAAATTACAGAAGAACCATATAGTCAATGACGAAAGAATTTATTTATTTCAAAATTCAGCCACTAGAGGGCAGCAGAACAACATACCTGCCATGTATTCAGTCTCTTATTGTCAAAACTTGCACCCCATGGATATCTTTTCGCTAAAAGTAAAAAAAAAAAAAATATTGAACTGCAGAAGATTGCACTGAAACTTTTATTTGGGTTACTGGACGTATTTACGTTTACTCTCAGCGAACACAGATATTTCTGAAAAAGGAGTATACTTTTGTGATTGATCGCGTATATACACAGTTAAATATACCACTATCTTTGGACGACCCGGCGGAATATAATTTAACTAAGAAACGGGGAGCAAAATTACTGCAGACAGCCTGTCGGTTGATATTGCTGTCTGGTGTTGGATGCATAATATCCATTATCGAATTAACAAGAATATTAAAAAAAAATAATGTTATCGACAGGAAATGAATCTGATCGAGAAATGAATCAAATCAATCTGATAGCAATCAATTCTAGGTACCTACTGACAATCTGGCTTTTAGTTTTTCAAAAATGAAAAAAAATAAAGTAATCGTCATGAAATCGCTTATGTTTTTGCATATGAATATTTAAATTTTAAAGTTGTATTCATATGTTAATTAGGTCTATTGACAAAGCTTTAAGGTTTACTAATTTTAATATCAACAGGTGTTCCAATAATAAATGAACGCTTATAACAATACGGCACGTACATCTAAGTGGTATTAGCTCTGTAACAACACGATTCAATGATTTAAGAAAACGTTTCACAAAAGTCGTATTGACTTTTATTTGAAGCTTAATTATCTGGCATTTTTTTTTTTTTTACTGAAATTGTGTTATTGTAATTTAAAAAAACGCAACTCGATTTTGACATACGTACATTTAAACATATGGTACATTGTTACAGAACAAGGAAAATGAAATGCACTGATTGTGAATATTTTAAAATTGATATATATTACAAAATTATAGCTAATTTATCTAATTAATATACATCGTTTATTTCACTCTAATTTCATCGTCACACTAAATTTCAAAGAGAGCCATGTGAATATAAAAACTCAGTCACTGAATTGAAATGGATGGATAAGATAGATGAGATACATCACTCAGTGTTTATTTATAGAACACCTCATGGTGTTCCACAAAAGACGCTATTGCCGTGTGGTGGTTGTACACATACACAACACCTTGCGGTGTAAATGTCAATATTTTAAAAGCAAAGGTCAGCCTACCGTATGTTATATATAGTTTACACATTCAGTTATCGAGAGATGCTGAATTGTTCGAGTTACGGACATCGAGTTACGAAAACATCGAGCTACAGAAATATTTTGAAACCACGCCCACTTCTGTGATCTCACGCGATGACATATTATCTACTTATGTTTTTAGCTTATTCTGAATATTTAAACAACTCACATTCAAGCCCTCCTCTGGCTGCGTACTCCCATTCAGGTTCTGTTGGCAGCCTCCATCCATTCCATTCGCAGTATTGCTTGGCGTCATTCGCACTAATGTGAAGTGCCGGCCAATTTAGTCTTTTTGTGATCGTACTACCCTGACCTTCAGGCTAGAAAATATAAATAAAAAAGATTAGCGTAAAAAGTTATCAAATTTTCCAATTGTTAAATTAAAACTGTTCTTAATTAAGACTTTTGTTTATTTAAAAGTTTTAATTTCATTATCCTAAAAATAAATTCATTACAGTAGGCATGATTTTTTAAAAAGTTTGTTGTCTTCTCAGTAATTAGTAATTCTATTAACCTGACACATATGATTTACAGGTTGTTGGTAAATAACTGAACGGCAAGTCCTGACAGCCGTTAGTCTAATAAATGTCCTTGCGTACAGATATTTGTAACAAAACACTAGCATTGATACTTGAATAGGGGGAACGTATGGACTCACCTGTCTCCAATAAGCTCTTGGTACCGGAACCCACCATGGAGTGTTCTATAATACAAATACATCATATTTTTAATAAATTATTCTGAGAGAATATATGCTAAACATGTTTTTATTAGTTGTTCTTATTCTAGAATGGATCGACATCTCTGCAGATTTGCAACATCATTATTTTTGTCAAGATTTCACAAAATTATAAAATAAACTTACTGGTATTCTGTCTGTTATGTTTGCTTTTACTTCCTCGCTCACAAAAGCATCAAAAACAAAACTCCATTGAAAACGTTCTGCCTCCGTCTTGAATTTTTTCGCTTTAACAAATTTTCTGCAGAACAAAAGAGAGGAAGTGAAACAATTATTATATTAAAAATATAGGCTACATTATTGTACCCATGCAAATAATTGTTTTCATCAATTTATATAAAAACAATCATTTATATAAAAAAAAAATTTTGTAAAAAAAAAATAATCAATTCCGATCATCAATTTAAATTTTCAAATGTAAAGTAATTTATTTTTATTAAAATTAATTTTCCGAATTTAATGTTTGGACTGTCAGGAGAGCAAGTCGTCTATTTTTACCTAAACGCAGCATTCGTTACTGGATATCTCATTATTTTGAATGGTTTTACGGTAACTTTTCTGGAGGGGCCTTCACCATCTCGTGCATTTGGTTCGTCGGTTCCCATTATAAATTTTCCACCTTTCAATTCTACCATCTCCTCAAATTTCTTGAGATCAGCATCTGTAAAATAAAAATATAAAACATATAATTCTAATACCGTTACTTTCGATTGAGACAAATGTTTCTGAATATCTTGAAAATACTGTGAAAATTTGCCCATTTGCCCTTGAAATGTTTTTTCTGCATACAAAATGCATGGAAAGTTTCTCAAAAGACAAAATTTCACTGAGAAACTACAATTGAATCTGAGAAAATTGAGCGAAAATAAGGCTTAGAGGAAACACTGTTAACAACATGGTTACTCTTTACTTCAATTAAAACGAAGAAATTGAATACCAGTAACTAAAACAGTTCGCAATACGAAATCAATCACTCGAAAGTCAATTTATGCAATTAATAAAACGAAACACCAACAGATACTGAATTGTTACTAATAAACTAATAACACAGCTGGCGGTCATCGCGCCGCGTCCTGTTCGATGTGGGACTCATAGCGACGTACACAGCGCGTGTAAAATACATTGTTTATTTACATTAAATGCGAACACACGCTGCGTTACGACCGATTTTTAAATGTCTTACAGCCTGTAAAAGAAATTATCAATGACAATAAAACAATAAACTTGCCAGGGCTAGGCTAACGCAAATTGGCGGATTTAGAGGAAAACACATGGCGCGCGCCCCGGCCCACCTAGACCGTTCTTACTGTCATATATAATTCGGTAACGATGTCATTGTAAATGTGCCCCATACAGACGATCGGACGGACAGACTCACCATATATACGACATTACCTCCCGTTTTTTACTCTGCACAGGGGAACCAAAAATAGACACAACTGGAATGCACATAATATATAAATAAGCGCAACGTGCACGTCGAAAAGATCGTTCACGTATGGCAAAGTGCACACACGATGTCAGTAACTACGTGTCGACCATTTTATTCCAAAGTCACATAACTTCTTTTCCGCATTAAATTTGAAACGTTCACTTGTTATGAAAACCTATATACTTGTTTTGGGACATATTATGAGATTTAAATTGTATATGTTGATAAAACTCTTTTATCATAGTATTTATTACGTAACTTCTTAATGGCTAACTCTTATCATAGGCCAGACATCTAATACCGTAATGGGTATTATCGATTATCATCGGGTATTATCGGGTATCATCGGGAATTATGAACAAAAAAGAAGCACTTCTCTTAAATTTTATCATCTCATTAATCAGAGTTTAGCAAACACTGTGACATAAAATGGCACTATGAATAGACAAAGTACAATATTTGGCACCGTGGTGTTGCCTTATTCAAAATTAAAACCTTTTCTTTAAAAAAAAAACGCTGTCAGGTCTGCATTTTTCAATATTATGATTGAATTGAAAAGACTCACCATACATAACTGAAACTGTGACCCTTTGGTCAAAAAATATGTAGCATGTAGTTGATATTATTAATTTTTTATAGTATTAATATATTAATAACGAGTATGGCAAGTAATACTCTTGGCGCAACAAAGGTATTTCCTTCATCTTTATAAATATTTATAAATTCCAATGGAAGTTGAATCAAGCCAGCCAATCAACGAGCACATCGCGCGACGACGTCATCTGAAAACGTTCCAACTCTATTTTATCGGCCAATAGAAACCTTTCGTTTTTGTTTGAACTGTGAAATATATAAATATTTATGACGAATAAAGGAATGTCTTTGTTGCGGCGGGAGTACCCAATTTATAGGACTAGTACCAGCATAAATGATGCACCCCGTGGTGACCTAGGTACTACAGGGTGAAGAAAGTAAACAATTATATAAGATTTAGCCAACGAATGCTATAAAATTGCTGTTATTATCCGATATGCCAGAACGTGGCATTCTGCAAATATATGTTAGTTATAGATAATGAGCTAGAGTATTGACATTAATATCCAATTTATGCCAATATTACCAGTGTTATTATTGATATACCCGGCAATGTAATTCACCACGGAGTTTTTGTGTATAGGAGCTACAGGATGAAAATTGGGAAAATTTATAAAAAACGTGAATTTGGAAAAATCTTAAATTTAAATTCGTATCCGGTCAACTGTACGTCGATTGACAGTTTTGTGAGGGTTTTTTTGGTGCGAAATAGAGTAATTTTGCTGTATACACTTCTGATTTGTCGCTATGCGAACGCCAGTCCTTTATGGTCGCCATAGAACGACTAAACCCTGGTATCTACAAGTTTTAAGCAAACTACAAATTCCGAAGTCACGTACTGTTGCGTAGATTTGTAGCGTGGTTGATCAACTGATAACTATCCCTGGGAACTCAATGATTGTTTATATCATGGACTCGAACTTTCAACTCGCTCTCTGTAATCGATTCGACAGGATCAACGACCGATTAGCCTCTTAGAAACCGATATCAAAAACGAACCTCAGCACTCAATGATATAGCCAAAGATAACTAAGAAATGCTCACCTGTTAATGTGTCTTTACCGGTTTTACACTCAGTTGAAATAATTACAAACACAAACACGAGTGCCACACGAAACACGTCTGTCCACGCTGCCATACTTTTGCTCTGTAGTAATAACACACGCATGCCCAGACGATGTTTTAAATACTTATTGGATACAGAGCGCTATAAAATTGTGGCAATTATCTTAGTGGCTACAGACGGCAGCTTGTGATTCGCTGATATTTTTACACAAGCACTCGACACGAGGAAATACTATAATAATATATGTATGCGGGTAGACGTCTACGAGCTGACACGAAGGCCGAACAAAGTATCGGGTGAATGGGGTTATTTAAATAAGTTAATATGGATGAAACACAATTGTTTTAATATTATTAATAGCCTCGTTCATGCGGGTTGAACATGTGTCGAACAAGGTGTTAATCCCTATGCCGGTTACAGAAACTGGACACACTCGCCTCGAGCCGACATCACACTCTCAGTCGAAGAACTTTTCATAACTATTATCTTTATGTTTCATACCAATGAAATCTTCCGTAAGAATCCGCGATAATAAGACGTACATGCACAAAACCATATTGTGTTAAATGTTATTGAATTTACGGACATATACAAACAATTATTGCGTAATGTGATTGAAAAAACGGAGAAATTTGTAGAGATAATATAACCGGTGACTGTGGTACAGTATGTCCTGCGGAATTAAAGAAAAATTCTAGCAAAATTCTCGCATAATCTGCCACAAAAAAAAATCGATAAAATGAAGTGGTACGGAGAGTAACATATTGCGTGCGTGCCAGAGCCGCGTTCACACACGGTTTTCGGCACAATGAGCTAACACGTGGTAAGAGCATTCGTAAATATTAAATATTATTGCTTGATGTTGAGGACCAAATTGAATTTCGATTTAACGTAAATTAAAATGTCGTTTTTACAAAGTTCTTATAATATTCATTGGGTGTGAAATGACCCGATCCGTACTTAGCGCTTCTCAGTCCGCAGTAAGCGTTCACGCACGTTTTCTTGGCACCGACGGGATAACGTTTCTGACCTCTTACCCCGTTCTAAGATGCTGTGTGCGAACGCAACTATACTACCATTCTAAGCTTTATTTGATTATATTCATTACTAGTATATAATAAAACATAAATGTTACATCTGTCTCTTGTTAATTATGTGTGCAAGTGCCAGCAATTTATATATGTTTGTGTATTTTACAGAATGATGACGTGAGACACTGCCAGTTACTAGTATTCTAATGGTATGGATCAGCCAAATAATTGACAGCGCGAGTAGCCAATCAGCGACCGTGTGACATCTGGTGATTTTCCGCAGTAATACGTGACAAGCCATGGTGTTACTGGTCACATGGAAGGTAGAATGCATCCTTCTATTTTACATGCCTGCCATAATCCCCACTGCTAACACCGTGTAAGGTAATAGGTCCTTCTATCGTCCATGCTAACACCAAGGGACATCGGGAAGTTGTTTCTGGTTATGCTCTCGAAATACTCTTCTGAGCCGTTGTGTTTCGTACACTAATTCCACGCTATGACATTATAAGTATTAATCTTTGGAAAATCTATTAATATAGATATATTTTGTAACTTTATAAAATTCATTCAAGTACATAGTTCTATGGTAGTTGGTACACCAATAACACCAGTGTACATGTTTAGCAAAATCTATTAGTTTACAACTGTATCGTACGATCGTTGATTAATATTTATGGTCGCCATAAAACGACTAAACCCTGGTATCTACATACTATAACAAAAACACGACCTTTAACAACAAAGCAAACTACAAGTTCCGAAGTCACGTACTGTTGTATAGATTTGTAGCGTGGTTGATCAACTGATAACTAACCCGGGGAACTCAATGTTTGTTTAAACATAACCGTGACGGAAATGAACTTTCAACTCGCGCAGTGGTTG